CGGGGCTGTGGCAGGCCTCAGTCAGGGGCTACCGAGCAGAATAGAGAACGAGTAGCGGAGGTGCCTGTCCAGCCGTGGTGATGATGACTGCTCACATGGGGCTCACTTGGACTCAATGTGTCACTTGTGCCTGCCGCAGGGGACCCCAAGTTGCCGGTGCTGTACCAGGTGGAGCGGACGCGGACAGGGACAAGCTTCTCGGTGCGCTCCGTGAAGGCCGTGCAGCATGGCAAGCCCATCTTCATCTGCCAGGCCTCCTTCCAGAAGGCTCAGCCCAACCCCGTGCAGCACCAGTTCTCCATGCCCAGCGTGCCCCCACCCGAAGAGCTGCTGGACCACGAGGCCCTCATCGACCAGTATTTAAGGTGAGAGAGCTGGGAGGCTCCAGGACACCTGCAGTTGTCACCTGGGAGTGGGTCACGGAATCCTTTAGTGGGTCTTGACTGGCATTTTAAAAAATGCAGATATTGGAGCATCTTGTGTGTAGTAAGGGTAAGCCCCATTTTGTGAGTCCTGTGTGTCGGTTGTGTGTGTCTGGTGTGTGTACCTGTGCGCACGGGCAAGCGTGTTGCGTCGTGATGTAAATGCAGAGCTTCTGATTCGGCCGGTTCAGGTACTGTTACAGCTTTACTGATTGTTAAAACATGGGAACACTTCTGTGATCACTTGGTACATACCTCTCCAGTCCCCGAGAGATCCCTCTCCTCCTTTGGGATCACTCATGATGAAGCAGCCTAGGAGGTAATGCCTGGCAGGGGTGACGGTCCCTGCTGCCTTTGCCTTAGTGTGTGTTCAATGTTTTGAGTATCACCTGGTGAAATACATTTCTTTTGGATCACAGCTAATAAAGTTGGGGAAAGAGCTCTGGGCCCCGACACAGGACAGAGCACGGATTCTGGTCGGGTCTGTGCCTCTGTTAGTGTTCCCCTGCTGTGTGACTTTGCCCGACTCCCCAGCTTCTCAGAGTCCTGCCTTGTCCAAGAATTGGGAATGGTCATGTCTGTCCTGCCTACTTCACAGCTGTAGCTAGGGAGAGCTCCCCTGTCCTGTGCTGCATGCGGGGAGGAGCAGAGTACTGAAGGGATAGATACGTGTTTGATCTTTTGGTAAAGGCCTGGGTTCAAATGTAGACTCTGTTTCTGCTAGCTGTGTGAGTTTGGGCAAGTTGCTTTCCCACTCTGAGCCTCTGCTCACAGGTACAAAGGGGGCTAATCATAATTCCTACCTCATAAAGCTGTAGGAGGATTAAATGTTGTAAGAGATAAGTCACTTCGTGACAGCTCGTGAATTGTAGTTATACCACTACTGACAGGAGTAATCACAAAGCTTGGTTTCAGAGCTCACAAATGTTCGCTGAAAGGAAAGGAGGACATTGGTCTTAAAGGTCCCTAAATAGAGAGCTGTACTGTCCACCTAGGAAGCCACTAGCCACATGAGGCTCTGTTAAGGTAACATTAAATAGAACGCACAGTTCTGTCGTCACACTGCCACACTCCGAGCACTCAGTAGCCGCATGTGGCTAGCGGCTAGCGGAATGGGCAGTGCAGGTCCAGAACCTTCCCACCGTCACGTGAGGTCTGGGGGACAGTGCCTTAGAGGGTGGGGCTGAAAATGGAAACCCTGGTGAAGAGCACTTGGGGTGGCTGTCACCAGGGTGGAGGGGGCGCCCCTGGAGATGGGCTCCCCACTCTCCCCCGGAACACGGTCTTCCCAATTGCTTAGGGTTAGGTAGGTTGGTCCCAGTTGCGCAGCCTGCTTCCTGAAAGTTGAGAATAGCAAAGTGGATAAAAGCCTGAACCATGGAGCCGGACTGCTTGGGTCCACATCCTGCCTTCTCCACTTCCTGAGCAAGCTCCTCGAATTCCCGCTGCTTATTTCAGGTCAGTTATCAGGGGGGTAATGGTAGCATTATCTCATAGGGTTGTCGTGATGAGATAGTGTGTAGTGTATGTGAAATGCTTAGAAGGGTACCTCTGATAGGGTCCGCCTTGCTACTCTGAAGCGTTAGGAGGTAGGCTGCTGTCATTGTCTACGTTTTGCAGATGGGAAGAGAGGCTCAGCGAGGTTACTAACGTGCACAAGGTCACAGGGCTCCTAAGTGGCAGAGAAAGCATTCAGACACTATGCTCTTCTGCCTGTCAGACGGGAGGGGCGCAGTGGGGAAAAGTCAGGAGTCCCCATGGAGGAAGGAGGGGGTCACAGAGGCAGCTCAGAGAGGCTCTCCCTTTCCCCTTTATTTTCAGGGACCCCAACCTCCAAGAGAAGTACCGGGTGGGACTGAACCGAATTGCTGCCAAGGAGGTGCCCATTGAGATTAAGCCGGTAAAGCCACCTACCCTGAGCCAGCTGCAGAGCATGGACCCCAAACAGATGTTCTGGGTGCGAGCCCGGGGCCATATTGGTAAGAGGACCCCAAGGACTGGAAGAAAACACTTTTCTAGGGGCTAGGCTGGGACCTTATATGCCCTTTGTGGCACTGGGTGTGTTACTTTCCCCTCTGGGCCTGCTGTTCCTTGTTGGCATGATGGGGAAGTAGCTTCTCACCAGGACCCTTTCCACTGCCTACATGGAGATAAGGGGGAGGTGACTGCAATAATCCCAATAGAGGCCCTTTCTGGGGAAGGCAAGGCACCTTTTAGAGATTCTTCTCCAGGACCCCTTGCTAACCACATGGCCTCTGTGCAAGCTGCACCCCTTAGAGGGCTCAGCGTGGGAGACAGGGAGTGAAGACTGGATTTCATACCTCACTTAGCCCTGCCACTCTGCCCATCCCTGCCTCCTTTGTCACCTGTCACTCACACACATACACAGACATAGACACCACCCCCCCCGGGCCAGGTGCCCTTATGCAGTGAGCACTCTACACATCTGTGCATGGCAGCCCCTCTCTGCCCACCTCCCCGCAGGTCCTGAGCTGTAAAACCCAGCAGCCCAGGGTTGACAGGGCCCCCATGCGTTGCAGGGGAGGGCGACATGAAGATACACTGCTGCGTGGTTGCCTACATCTCGGACTACGCCTTCCTGGGCACGGCAATGCTGCCCCACCAGCAGCAGCACAAGGTGCACTTCATGGCCTCTCTGGACCACTCCATGTGGTTCCACACCCCTTTCCGAGCTGACCACTGGATGCTCTATGAGTGTGAGAGCCCCTGGGCTGGTGAGTACGGGGCCACGTGGGACAAGGGGGCTGGCAGGGTGTGGTGGGCAGGAAGCCTGCTTTCTCGGGTGATCCTGTGGGGCACTGCCCGTCACTTCCTCTCCTGCCCCCCTAGGCTCTGGCATTTTTTTATTTTTTTAAGATTTTTTTATTATTTGAGGGAGAGAGTGAGTGAGTGAGAGAGCATGAGAGGGGGTAGGGTCAGAGGGAGAAGCAGACTCCCCACTGAGCAGGGAGCCTGATGCAGGACTCGATCCTGGGACACCAGGATCATGACCTGAGCTGAAGGCAGTCGCTTAACCAACTGAGCCACCCAGGCGTCTCGGCTCTGGCATTTTTGTCTTCAAAATGACAGCCTGAGGCTCGAGAGGGGACACCTGCTCAGCTGAATTTCTGTAGCATGCAGGGAGTGTCAGAGACCAGTTCTAGGCCCGGAAGCACTTCAGATTCTCTATGTGATCCTTGGCGAGTCTCAGCGCCTCTCTGAGCCTCAGTTTCCCCATCTAAACAAATAGGGTCACATGAGAGCAGTGGTAGCTGAATGTGGTGGCATGTCAGACTGCCAGTTGGGGGAGTTTTTTCAAAATAGATATTCAGATTCAACCCCCAAGATTTTGACTCAGGTCTTGGATGAAATCCAGGAAACTATTATTTTTAAGCAGCTCCCTGAACAATGGTGCAGATTAACCAACCTGGTTGGGGGTCAGGGCCCTCCGTAGTCTCTGAGGGCTCCGCTACTTGAACCCTCGTGGTACGCAGGGAAGCCCAGACGTGTTCAGCACTGTCTAGTCTCAGAGCCCTGGGCTCCTTTCTGGGGAAGCACACTTCAGATGAAGAAAGGCCTTGCTCTATAAAACAGGGACAAAACTTGAGGGATCCTCTCTTCAGGGAAGGGGGACTCTGCAGCATCAGTAATGTTGCAACACAGATCAGCAGCCTTGCAGTTAGGACACCTGGTTTGGCCAGCTCCTTATAGCTGAGTGCCTGAGGCTCCCTGTGTCTTCATCTGGAAAATGGGCCAAGGCCTGCTTCACTTGGCTACTATGAGAACTAAGAGAGCTCTACTCTGTGTAAGGGAGACCAGCAGCTCCCTCCAGAACCTTCCACTCAGGCCCAAGGCTAGCAAAGGAGTCTCCAGGCGGGGAGGGAGGGTGGCCAGATGTGATGGCCCCAGGTCCCCCCACCCCACCCCATTCGTCCTGGTAGGGGTGAGGATGGGGTTTTTTTTTGGTGTGAAATACCGCCCTGGAGGACCCAGTTTGATTCATTAGAAAGGGAACTGCGGGGTTTCCTATCACAAGTGGCCAGAGTTGGGGTGGATCTGCTTAGCCAAGCTACTGACCCGAGACTGCCCTCAGAATTCTCCCCGCTGTGAGCTTTCTGAGGAAGCCAGTAGATATGTGAAAGTGCTTTTAAACTGTCAAGTGGGATTCCCTCAGGAGTTCCCCCCAGGGACCATTCCTAATAGGCTCATCACGCAGCACTTAGAGACTTGGGGAGGCCACAACACTCGATGTGCCCTTGTATGGGGCAGCCAGACCGGTTGCACCCTTTTCAAGAAGCACATTTGGTGAAGGAGAAGGCTGTTCTCACCCTTCCCCTCACCCACAGGTGGCTCCCGGGGGCTGGTCCAAGGGCGGCTGTGGCGTCGGGACGGTGTCCTGGCTGTGTCCTGTGCCCAGGAGGGCGTGATCCGAGTGAAGCCCTGGGTCTCAGAGAGCAAGCTGTAGCCAGAGGGACCAGCTTGGCCTCGGGCTTCAAGGATCACTCTTCTCCCCACCAACTCTGTACAGTTGAGGGCTGGGCTTTCTGTCCCCAAACCCAATAAAGAGACTAATACCACTGGAGCTGCTGGCCTTTAATTCCCCTGGGCCAGACGACAGCCATACTCCAGGACTCCAGAGGAAGAGTTGCTGGCCGTGCGGCCAAGGAAGAGGTAATGCCGACCGACACTGGGGCACGGTCCCCAGACACTCATGAGCTGGAGAGGCTGCATCAGACTTGCTCCCTACACCACCCCAGGGCAACCCCGGCCAAACTTGTCCTGAGCCCAGCTCGACAGAAGGAACATGGTTCCTTGGTGTGCTACAAATCCTTCATAGGGCTTCTAGGGGTTCCCAGCACCCCCTACAGCTTCCCAACTGCTATTCATGTCCTCCTTGCTCACCTCCACCCTCCATCCCGGGGCGGTGCCTCTCCCCACAGTGGCCTGAAGTCTAGGCAAAGTCAGTCCAGTACCTCCTTGATGAGCAATTCTTTGAGACTGGGGGGTGGCGTGGGGGTCAGGCCTGCCTCCTGCAGGGCCTGGAGCCGGGCCTCTGATTGGCGTTTGTCCAGGCCCAGGCGCCAGGAGAGCCGGACGTGGGCCTCCAGAAAGGGTGCCAACAGAGGGTGGGGGTTCTTGTCCCCCAGCAGTTGCAAGGCCCTCTCACAGCATGCCCGGGCTTCCCCAGGATCTTCCAGCTCCTGGTGGCACACAGCCAGCCCAGCCAGGGTCAGCAGAGGTCGGTCTGGGCCCAAGGGGGTACCTAGCTGGGTCTGCAGCTGCCAGGCGTTGGCCCAGAGCGCCAGAGCCTCATGATAGAGGCCGGTGCAGGTGAGGCTCTGGGCCCGCTGCAGCTCGGGCAGTACAAAGAAGTCCTGCAGGTCTGGGGCAAGGCGCAACTCAGGCACTGCCTGCAGGTGGCTCAAAAACTGCTCGAAGGCCCGGCTGCGGCGGGCGATGGTCTCTGCCGTAAAATTCCGGCGCAGGCGCTTCCGGGGGAATGAGATGGCGGCCATGGAGCCCCGGAACTGTCGCTGCAGGTTTCGGTGCAGCCGCTCAAAGTCCGAGTAGCGGCGAGAGATCTGGGCAGGCTGGCAATCAGGTGGCCCTGGACCCATCACGGCGAGGGTGTAGAGCTGTGGGGAGGGTGGGGCCAGGGCAGGTGTGAGTTGTCCGTGCGCCCCTTCCCTCCCCACACCCACACCTCAAGCTGCGTTGCCCCACTTCTTCCCTTCGCCCCTGAGACTGGGCCCAGGAGGGTGGGAGCTGCTGGGGCGGCAGCCAGGGAGCCCAGTCCCATCTTACCTGAGGCTCGTCTGAAATGACCCGGGCCGAAGGCAGCACGGGGAAAGAGAGACAGAGATGAGCTTCAGTGCCTGGAGCTGTCACCACTTTTGCCCCCTTCCAGGGAGCACTCCCTTCCCATAGGGCAGTTAGCTCTTCTGACAGCCCCTCTGGTAAACCAGCTGGGAGCTGAAACCCAGGCCCATCTCTTGGGCCTCTGAACCAACCTTCAAGACCAGCTTGGACTTTGTTCCGCTCTGGACACAGAGCCCCCACATCCTTAGCCAGGTTATTCCGAAGCAGACCTGGAGGAGAGGTCTTCAGATAGACCAAGTAGCGATCACTGTGAAGAGGGCATCGGGACACAGGTCCTAACCCCCTGGTCAGCTACTCCCTCGCGGCGTGTCGTCAGGCAAGGCAGTCCCCCCTTGGGTCTGCTTTCCTCGAAGTGGTGGCCTAGGTCAGTGTCCACTCACAGGTGGGATGCGTATAAGTAAATGTTGGTTCTGAGATTCTAGGTGGTATGTGCTGGAGTATAAATAACACTGAAGCAGAGACAGGAGGTGACTTCCCGACTTCCCCCCCGCCCGCCCCAATTCTCTTTGAATCCTGACTACAGATGAGAAGCTCTCTGTTTGGTTTTTAAAACGCACTTTCCCACACGTCTCATTTCCACTTTCAGAAAAGACCTAGAAAGCAAATCTCAGGTCAGGGCCTTCAGGCAACAGCATTCATGCAGGGTTTTAATGACTGCTTTTATTGTATTAATTTTTACGGTATGGCAAGCAAGGCTTTCCAGCTACAGTACTGCCTTGAAGTCTTTTGAACTTATTTATGAAAAAAATAGGTTTACTTAAAGAAAAATGTTAAGCAAGGAATCGTACAAATAGCATTTAGCTAGGACGAGAATCATGAAGGTGGTACTGGAATGACTGATGTTTGAGAAACGCTGATCAAGATGACCATGAAGCTGCCCCTAGGTCTGAGCACCTGAATACGGATTAATCTGTTATAATGCTGACCCACCAGGTTTAAAAAGGGGGATTAGTTAAGCATGAGATGTTGAAGGCACACTAACACCAAACCCAGACTTTTCTCTTGAATTTGTTCTGTGAAACTGCCAATATTCTAGCCACCTCTGGTCTATTCTATACTTCTCTCGAAGATTGAGTGTATGTTAATACTAAGGATTAAAAGGTTTAACCTTAAAGAAATTTATTTTACTCCCATTCAGTTCTGCATTCCCCAAACATACTGGCTGCAAAACCTTTTTTTTTTTTAAGGAATGGTTATCAACATTCCAGGGAACCAGTTTCCTGCAAAATACACTTCAGGAAGCATTGTCTAAAATGACCCCTTATATTCATGTAGCTTTTACTTTTATTTTTAAATTTTTGGCAAAAAGGAAACATTTTATGTCCATTATCTCATGAGTAATAATGACAGTAGCTCCATTAACTTAGCACCTGCCCCTGCTATGATGTGCTGTGCTGGGCACTTTACTATGGAGCATAGTGAGGAGGGAGGCCCTGACTGACAGCCGAGGAAGCAGGCTCCACGGGAAGCAAAGGGCTCAAAGACTTCCCCTAAGTCACAGAGCTGGTAAATGGTCCAGCTGGGATTCAAACCCAGGCCCACCTAATTCCACAGCCTGGGCTTTCAACCCCGTCGGGAAAAGTTCAATCAGGATTTAGGGTCCCCTTTGGACAAAGGACGGGACCTGTCTCCCCAGACATGGGCCAGCGCATATCTGACCATCCTGCTCTATCCTGTCATTCTCAGAATCATCCCAAATTTCCCTGCTTCCCGGCTGTTCCTTGGGGTCCCTTTGCCAGTGCGTGAGGCCTGGGACTTCTGCCCCTTAAGACTAGATCATCAGAGTCAATCCCTGCTCAAATTGGAGCAGTCACCCCATGGGCGTGGCCCTTGTTTACTAACAGCAGCAGAAAGGAATGGAGAGGCCCACATGTGGGACACGGCTCCAGGCCCCTTTCCTGCTGAGTCAGAAATGGAGGAGGGAAGTCTGAGTCGGCCAGGACTGGCCAGGTCACGCTGGGTTTCAGGACCTGGCAGACCTCATTCTCCCTTGTCAGTTTCTCCTTTCCACAGGCAAGGAAAACCAGACTCCAAGGCCTTCCCCCACATTGCTCTTCATCCCAACCCCTACCCCCTAAATCTAACCCTCAGAACAAGATTATTGTGTACAGTGTCGGTGCCCGGGGACTGATTGACCTGGGTTGTAAGGAGGCCACAACAGGCCCTAGATGCCAGACATTTTCAAGCCAAAGTTAAGTCATAATAATAAGACTTTTATCAAGCACTTCATAATGCCAGGCACAGTGCTATGGGCTCTCTGTGCACTAATTTAATTTCTGCAACAATCCTCTGCATTATTCCCACTGCTCGGATGAGGAAATAGGGTTATCAAGGTTACACAACTCACCCAAGGTGAAACAGCTGGTAATAAGTGGGATCTGAATCAAGGTCTGGATCCAAAACCCATTTTTTTTTTTAACCACTAACAAATGCAACTTGGGTCTCAGGTCTGACCCAGATATTCTTTCCTGTATATCCTGTATTTTGCTACAGTTTGCAAAACCTGGGGGATGGGACCCACACATCAGTTCTCTTAGTCTCAAAACCAGGATGGGGGGCAGGTCCATAATCCCTCAGAAAGCTAAGTCATTTGCCTAAGGACCTGAACAAATTACATCCCCTTTCTGACCTCAGTTTCCCTACTCCTAATATACAGTGACCATTTATAACTATACAGCTAGACACCCCCCCCCCCCCCCCCCCCACCTCAGCCCAAGGAAGTTGGGAACCTTCCCTTTCTCTTAGCCAGACTTCTAGACTCACAGCCCAGAGGTTCCTGGACCCTCACTCACCACGTACTTGGAGGGTGGATCCTTGACTACGTTAGCGCTGGTCACCTCGAAGAGCAGCCGCTGGGGCACCAGAGTGTTGCGGGACTTCTTCCAGAAATCCTGCAACTGCCTTGCCAGGGGCTGACTGCCCCGCTGTCCATCAGGTGGGAGGCTCCGATCTGCATGGGGACACGACCAGTCACATCAATGGGCCTGGGGCTAAGGTGGACATAAACCACGTGTGGTGACCTCACTCATCCTCCCAACAGGTGAGAGGCTTTATTTCCATTTGACATAAATGGAAACTGAGGGCCAGAGAGGGGCCAGGTGCCAAACACCGTGTCTGGCAGACAGTAGGCTCTAAATAAATATTACCCCCCAAAACATCGCGAGCACATTAACGATTTGTATCCCAGACCCTGTAAATTCAATACCCCCAGCAACCCCAAGATGGGAGTGATTTCCCCCATTTGACACGAGGGAAAACTTGGCTCAGAGAGATGTTGTGGCTCTCTCAAGGTCACACAGCCAAGAGATGGCTGGGGAACAGGGCTGGGGTGGAGGCCTAATCGAGGCCCAGGGTTCCCGCTTCTGTCTTCGGGAACTCGCCTGCATCTTCTCCCGACGCCCCGTCCCCAGAGGGCTGCGGGTCGGGGCCAACCTCCCCGTCGTCCTCCTCGTCGTCGTCCTCTTCGTCCTCGGCGCTAGTGAAGCTGAGGGTGCCGCTGAGGCGGGAGGACAGGCCCTCGGCGTCGTCGTCCTCCAGCTCCGAGCTCTCAGGGAACTGCTCGGCCTCCGGGCCGGTCGCCGCCTCCCCCGGGTTGTCGCCGGCCAGGGCGTGCCGCAGCCGGTGCAGGAGCCGCGAGGCCATGGCACCCTGGGGGGAGTGCGCGACGCTGGGTCCTGGGCGGGGGCGGGAGGGAGACCCGGGGCCCCTAGCGGGGAGGAGGGGCGGGGCCCAGCCGGCGGAGGGAGGGACGCCGCGGAGGCCCCGCCCTAGCCCGTTGGGGTTCCTGCGAGCCGCGCGCGTCTCCTGGCGTCGCCCCCCCACCCCCTCCGCGCAGCCTAGGGCCGCGCTCTTGCCGGGAGAGGCCAGGACACTCCCCTGGTCTCTTTCGCCCGCTGGCGCCTCTCCCTCCCGCGCCTCGCGGTGCGCTCAGGGGCGCGCGGTTCCCCAGCGTCCGGGGTGCAGCCCCGGCAGCTTACCGAGGCCGGCCGGGCTTCGCCGGGCCCAGGCCGCTCCCAGCGCCGCTCCGGCCGCTTCCTGCCGCGGCCCCGCCCCCGGCCCCGCCCGCTCCCCGGAGCCTCCCGGGAATCCCGGGCCTTTCGCTCCGTGAGGGACTTGGGAATCCTGGGTAGGCCTGGGCGAACCCCAGCGTCCTGCGGGATCGTACCCAGTCCGCAGGGTCTCACTCCCCCCGTGAATCCTGCCACCCGTCCCGAAGACCCAGTCTGTCCCGACTGCCCCCAATCTATCCCGCAATCTCCATCCCGCACTCTTAACTTTCCAAAGTCACGCCACAGTGGGAAGCCCATCTCTCCGGTGAAAAAACTGAGGCCAAGGGAAGACACGTTATGTGAGTTGGAATCTGACCTCGAGCCTAGAGGCAAGGTTTTTTTCCTGTGTAAAACAGGAACAATTAAAACTAGTACTAATTTTGCAGTCCTCGTAAGGACCCTGATCCAGTGCCTGGCGTAGACCAGGGGCTGACAGACTAATCAGTTCCATAGTGATTATCCTTTCTACAGTCTTCACACGTTCTTACGATCTCATTTGAACCTCACACATAGGAAGTAGCAAACGGGGCAGTGAGATCCAGAAAGGCAGAGTTATGTGCCCAGAGTCACACAGCTTGCCAGAGGTTTCTGAGTGTGGGGCCTTGTAGCCTACCTTTCCTGAGTTCCTCATTCTTTTCTTTTCCCACACAGAAGGCCTGGTAATCTCAGCAGCTTCTCTGAAGGGCTGGCTGTGTTTTATCTTTTACCGGGAGGGCAGCAGTGGGTCAGGAAGAATTTATTGTCACTACCTGTCAAAAGGCCTTGCTATCAGTCCCTAGCAAGGCAGATATTGTTGGTTATACAATCGAACAAATAAAATCTCTCTGACAGTCCTTCCTACCCTTTTTGAACAGCACAGGAGGGAGAAGGGGGGGAAGTAGCTTTGAATGGGAAACACACTCCACTATGTGCAGAGGTTCCACTGTGACCTACATCCTGTTCTAGGCATTTTACATGGGGTCACATCTCACACTCACATCTTGGGGGAGGGGCTGTTATTGGATAATAATGGTCCGTTTTCAGGATGAAGAGGCAAGTTGACTTTCTCAAAATCCAGAGCTAGGAAATACAGGAGCTAGGATTTATGGCCAAGTCCATGTAATTTCAAGAATCTAGCTCCTCTTCATTCAGCTTAGCAGCAGGGTGTGGGGGCAAAAAGAGACACACTTCATTCCTTAATTCATTCAACACTCACTCATTCATTGAACACCGAAGAACATCAACTTGTATTTTGGCATAGGTCTCACAAATCTGGGTAGGTGTTCAAAAACACAAAGCAGGTATTCATAAAACCATGGGTTGTCAGAAATCTGGTCTGGTACTTCTGTTTTACAGATGGGAAGTCTGAAGCTCAGTGAGGGGAAGGGACCTACCCTGGGCCATACAAATAGGACCAGAACTATTCCTCCTGAAGTCTTGTATTCTCCACTATCCTATAATATCTCCCTACAGCCACCCTGAGAGATGGTCATTAAATTCCTGGTTGCATACAGTCAGTAACAGGGAGCTCATTATCTTCGGAGGCATCCCATTCCTGTGATTTTTCAACCTTGACGGTTAGGAACTTCCTCCTCGTAACCAGATGCCACTCCATTCAGTTATTCCTATAAAAAACACGGTATTTATTGAGCATGTGCTGCTGGGGAATGCAGTGAAGAACAGGTAACAGTCTTTGGTCCATGGAACCCAGAGCAGGTCATGTCATGTGGCATGCTCAGGGCTATGACTGAAGAAACTACTGAAGACTGCCTTGGACTCCCTTGGGATCCTGAAGGAAGTGATGTTATTTTTGATTTGTATTTTTTTTTTCCAAGTAATCTCTACATCCAACGTGGGGCTCAAACTTACGACCTGGAGATCAAGAATCACATGCTCCACTGACTGGGCCAGCCAGGTGCCCCTTTAAATATATATATATAAAATAAATATTTATATAAATATATAATATATAAATATATAAACACACACACACACACACACTCATGACGCCAAGATCAAGAGTTGCATGCTTTACTGTCTGAACCAGCCAGGCGCCGGAAGGAAGTGATATTGAAGCTGAGAAAGATTACAGTGAAGTAGGCAGGTAAAGAGAGAGAAGATGCGAGTTCCTGGCAGAAAAAACAGCACGTGCAAAGACCTGGAGGCTACACAGGGTGTTGTTTGGAGCTGTATTTTAGTCTGACCAGAGCAGAGCAGCATGCAGGATGGGGAGGGAAGGGGATGGAGGTTGGAGTGGTTAAAGGGAATAGATAAATTTGGACCTTATCTATTTTCCTGAATAAATGAAAGAACAAATTAATGAACAAATGATTGCTGAGGGTTCCAAGTTCTCTGCTTCAAAGGAATCATTGGTGGCTCCAGGGCTCACGTCCAAATTGGACTCCCCTGGTGTCGCTGCCCCTTGGCTCTCTGCCTGGCCGGTGGAGGCCTTGTGTAGCCTGGCCTAGCTCCACTGAGCTTTTCTTGGGAATGTCTATAAATAGAGAAAGATGGTGGCCCAGCTGCCACTGTCCGTCTACCTTCCTTGGAATCCAGCCTCCTTTCACTGGCCCCAGGCTCTGCGCTCAGTTGTCTTCATGCTCTTTCTGTTGACTTAGCCACTGTCCACAGCATCGCCTACCTCTCCAACACCCAGCCTGGACCCTGTGGATTTGCAGGATGGGCTCCCTTCGGACTGGACTTGCTCTGCCCATCTCTCCAGATGGCTAGCTGAGCTGCTCTGGACTTCTTCACTGAGCTCTAGGAAGGGGCCTGCTGCCCCTTTACTCACCTAGAGAACCTGCCCCTAATCCCCCTCTCCCTCAAAAAAAAAAAAAGAATCCCAAACACCCTTTTCCCGGAGAAGGTAAACTTGAGAGGAAGATATGCTTTCAACTTTATTTCTCCTCCAACTGCATCCCCATCTCCTGGACCCCTCCCTAGATTTCTTGTTTGGACAGGTCTCCTCAAGGGTTGTCCCAACTTCCCTTCAGGATTAATAAGAATCACTGACATGGGGCGCCTGGGTGGCTCAGTCGTTAAGCATCTGCCTTCAGTTCGGGTCATGGTCCCAGGGTCCTGGGATCGAGTCCCGCATCGGGCTCCCTGCTCAGCGGGAAGCCTGCTTCTCCCTCCCACTCCCCCTGCTTGTGTTCCCTCTCTCTCTGTGTCTCTCTCTCTCTGTCAAATAAATAAATAAAATCTTAAAAAAAAAAAGAATGACTGACATGACTAGAGGCCTTTATGATTTACAAAGCCCCCTAGTAAAAAGGGAATAATCCTAGCTTCTCCCTCATGGGATGGGGTGATCTAGGTGACATCACGTGGTTAAAATGCTTATCATAGAGTGTGGCTCCTCCTAGAGGTTCAATGACTGTGGCCGTCACTTTCCCCTCCTCCCCTCCCCTGCCCTCTACCATGGTTCAAAGACAGGACGTTGCACTTGCCAAGCACCAACCCTATGGAGTGGGCACAAGTTGGGTGACTTGTAGCTGGGCCCCCATTTCCCATGGTCTGTCTGTGAGGGAGGTCATGACTGTCCCCATCACCACCTCTCGGAGAAGGAAACTGAAGCTCAGAGTGGCACGTCGCCTGCCTAAGAGTGCACTGTTTGCAGAGACAGGATCTGGATCTTGGGTTTCATCCTTCAAGGCTTGTGCTCTTCCCCCTCTGCCATGCTGCTTCACTTTTCTCGATTCCGATCGTCCTCACCCATCTTGGAGCCAGTGTGTTCCTTGAGCAGGGGTTCCCTAAGGCAGAGGAGCAGGGCGGGTTCTCCTTCCAAGAATCTAGGACATTAAGGCCTGCCACCTGCTCAGAGGCTTAAATTTCTCTGCAAGGGCCCTTGGCTAAATTAGGTAATGGGCTAGGACTCTGGGATGGGGGCGGGGGGGGGAGGGGAGAGGGGGGAGGAGGCGCTCGCTGACCCCAGGATCTGATTGGCCAGGGCAACTAGTCCTGGGGAGCAGGGAGGTGGGAGGAGAGGGTGTCCCCTACAAATCTGAGGGACTGGAGCAGGCCAGGGCATCTTTGGGTGGTGGAGAGCTGAGGAGGTGACCTGCAGCAGAGGAGGCCCTGGGACTAGCAACCATGGTAAGGACAAGAAGGGACTTCATCACTTTGCTTGCTGGAGCACTTCTGGACCTGTTCCAGGCCAGATCTGGGTGCTCTGTAGTTCAGTAATTGGACGTCTGAAGATGGAACATGAAGGCTCCTGGGGCCCAGATGTCTAGGAGGAAGCCTGGGAAGAAGGCCTTGGACTTCTCTAGGAAGGGGAGGGGTTGGGGGGTCCTGGGGATTGCCGACTCCCTGCAGACCTGAGGCTTCGGCAGTGTTGGTTACGGAGCCATGAGGGGGTGCTAGCTTGTCTCCCTCATTGTAGAGGGGGGGACCCTGAGGGCCAAAGTGAGTCACCTAGCAAGCCCGTGGCAGGGGTGGGCTAGAAGCCTTGCCAAACTCTCCTGAAGACTTGTCTGGAAGAAAGGGGGCCTGCAGGGTCTCAAGCCAGCTGAGGTGCACGATCCAAGAGCTCCAAGGGTGAAGAGAGGGGGCTTCTGGCAAGATAGACCAAGGTTAGAGAGACCCTGGCCTCCCAGAGAGCGGTCCGAATCTGGGGCTGTCATTTCCCCTGAGGTCCCCTTCCCCACGTCACTTCAAGGGGTAACTAGACCCTGGAGGACAGCTGCTGTTGCCCATGCCAAGCTAAAAATAGCCTGTCCTCCTGCATGGGCAAGGAGGAGGGCGGAGGGGAGGGCAAGGAGGAGGGCGGCGGCCAGCCGGTCGAAGAATGCCTTGGCCACCTCAGCCCCTCCTCCCCACCAGCCTCAGTGCAAAGCCCCATAGCCGGATGGCTTGGCTTAGATGTGGCTGGATCCCCTCTCCCGAAATGTTATTTTCACCTCCACAAGGCCCCCCATCATATTCTGCCCAGCACGAGTAGTGTTTACTCCAATGGCTGAATGATAAGAAGGAAGCTTAAAATCTCCATCTCC